TTGTGGCCCTGATCATCAGCTTTTGCTTCACTGCAAAAAAGACACAAGCCATAGCCGCGCGTATGTATATATGTAGTGGGAAGCTCGATGGATCCACAGAAACAAAAGAAAAGCAAGTAAGCGATGCAGAGTGAAGTGGACGAGATCGAGGTGCATGAAAAAGAGGTATTATATATAACGCGGCCGGCCCATACAAATTATATGCATGCTACCAACTTTAGAAAAACACTAGCACAAAGGTATATACTTTAACCAGCCTTTTATTTCCCACTGGTTATTGGTGTTATTATGTCACGCATGCAGAGTTGCATACAACATTTCAATATGTTAAAGTGCAGCTCTCTGCGTATTGATTAAGATGATTAGCTACCCCTAACAAATAAAGGTCTTGTGATCATCTTATGCAAAAAGCTATAGCGTTTGTTAATCTCACTCAAAAATATGCTTAGCCATGAAGTAATCAAATTTGTTGTTCTCTAGCTAGTGCCCATCCACCTAATTTGTGGAGCTGGATTGGTATCCGGTATGATATTTACGTCTCTTTATTGCTTATGGTGTGAGGAGGGGTCGCAAGCAGGATTTCGTCTAAAGTTGATTCGTTTATTAAAAAAAATACATAGGATAAATTAGGTTTTGTTAATTTTTAATCATTGATTCTCAATTAAACACGTTTTAACTTTCATTTATAATTAACTATTATACCTAATCTATCCATTTTTCTCTCGAGGACCATCCTGTTACACTCTTCTTCGCTTGGTTGAAATAAAGTTTTTCTTTTATACAAATTAGCTATGATATTGGAGGAATTAATTGGTGATGTTGACTATGTACCATTAATTTTGAGTGGATTATGTGTCTCGATAAATAATTTGTAAATTACACATAAAATATTTGAAAGGTCAACCATTCTCAAATAAACACATCCTAACTTTTATTATTGATTAACTATTATACTTAATTTATCATAGTTTCCTACGGAATCAGGGTGGGTCTCGGGACCGACCTATTTCACTCTCGATCCGCCCCATAGGTGTGAATTTGAGTTTGAAACTCCTAATTATAAGATTTAACCCTGCAATGTTACATGTGTCATCTATGACTAGGAGAAACTCACCATTTGTCGAAAACAAAAGTGGTCAAAAAATCCCCCAAAAAATGTCGCAATAAGATTGATGGCCACAATTTACGGTCATCAAAGTGGTTGTTTACGTTGTGTTGGCTTAAGAAATGGCGATGGTTTGTGTAAATGGTCATTCGTATACAAATATACACATGAACGCATCGTCTAGTAGATTTTGGCCAACGTAGTGATTGTGTTGTGTGTTCAGAGTCCCGGTTAAACTAGGATTATACCACTACAAAATATTGGCTAACTTAGCTGGGAGGAAAAGGTAAAATGAGTGCCTTCCAAAAAAATTTGAAACCCCAATGGTTTCTAAAATACAATGATTGTGATTCCATTTTATGGGGCAACAAAGAAAGGTCCAAACTTTGGAATCAAATTAATTCCTTTTGCTTATTAGGGTAGCCTTAGCCTGTCCTGCATGCCCCCGCCATCGCATCCCAGTCCAATCCTTGCCTGCCTTTCAGGGCTCCACCCAATGTCAAACTTCAAACATCCCATCAGTAATTTCTTGACAAAATATATATATTCACTTTTACTTTTTTTGCCCTAAGTGGTTAGGGCATAGTCAAACCAATCACCGCCTGACACGCAAGGCTCCATCCAGAAGCTTGATTTGGGGGTGGCAATGAGAATGTTGCGTGCGCAAGAGCTTTGGTTTGGTCGAAGAGTAGAATAAAATTGGAATTTTTAACCGGTCAACAGGAAACCTAAGTCAAAATCGACGAGGTTATTGGCCCTTTTCCTGTCGGGCTCCCCACTTCTGCGGTAAATTTTGAAATAGCGAGCAAGAATCCAAACGGGTTATATATGACTAGTACTCAAATTCAAATTCCCAATCTTATCAGAATGGAACCGAAGCATAAATCATTTTAATGAGTAGTTTATAATTTAGTGCTTCAATCGGTGTTAAGTCGTTAAAATACTGTTAGTTAACCGATATCTTATAAACAAAAACATTATAAATAGAACATAAGAAAGTACAAATTTCAAACATAGTTTTTAAAAGTAATAATTAAGTTATTCAAATAAAATAGAAGTAGTTTTTTACTATTAGAGGCCGCACAAATGTAACTCAGCAAGGGCAATTAAATGGAAAGCATTTAAATATATGATACGGGAAAGTTACGTATAAAATACGTGTATGTATTTTAATTCGTCTCTAAACTCATACTAAGTTTAATAGTACATTAAAAGTTATAAATGTATAAAATTAATTATTTTAAAAATAAATGAATATATAAATAATAATAATAATAATAATAATAAAGTTAACAATTTAGTTCATTAAACACGGATGTTAAACGTATTATACGGGTTTTATACGTGTTTAGTACGGTAGCCATCAAATGAACGGAAAAAATGAACTAGCTTGACAGTACTACGGATACGAAAGTTTTAAACGGATAAAATACGTATGGGTACATATACACGTATTAAACATAGTCTTTATTAAATACTACAGGGATAATTAAATGGGATGTTAAATCTACATATATATATTTATAGTGGAATGGAAAACTGTAACCCTAAGTTTAAATTTATTGGCCTCTGAGTGATTATAGGAAAGTTATTTTCATAACTACACCCAATTTATCTATATATATTTAAAATGTGTGATGAGATAGCAAGACTACCCCTAAAATGGTTGGAAAATAACACCCCTATTAATTATAAGTTTTTAATTATTAAATTTGTGGTGCATTAAATAATATGTGAGAATTAAAATTCCATATTAATTAATATGATGTAAATATTAATATATGGATGACCATTGACCTATTAGATTACCACATTAGAAGCTCACATGAGAGTAACATGTAACCCCCTTTTCCTACATTTGAATTCTCTATTATGTCTTATTATCTCTCATTTATATGTATTGATATTAGAATATAGTGGTTACCAAAGTGTGCCTATAAATAGAGCACATCATTGTATCACTAGTTAAGGATGAATAAGAAAGTTCTCTCTCCCTTCTCTTCTTTTGTGTCTTTGCTCTCTAATCTTCTCTTGTAGTTGTTTATATTTACCATTAGTTTTATAACACGTTATCAGCACGAAACTCTGCTAAATCACGGTTGGTCATTGTCTCTCTACATAATCTAATATATTGGAGTAAGATTACAATATGATCAAGGTATGCAAATCTTCATCTTCTTTATTATCTTATTGTCTATTTGTATTGATATGATCTCATTCCAATATATCTAGATGGATGCTACTCTTTTCTCGTAGTAGACCATCCATTTGATAATTTATCACGTACATATATTTGGATTGAAATTTTGGGTTGTGTAATTTGATTTATATTATAATGTGTTTTTACAATACATATACCGATTCCTTAAAATTAAAATTTTGTTTTGACACTATCGCAAATTAAAATATGCTCATGTAGTAGTAAAGACAAGAAAAGTAATATAAGTGGCGAGTTAATTTCTCAGTTCTGTGTGCTATCCTATTCTTATCAATCGTACATTGATATGTAGAAAATGCAAGTTCCAAGAGCCCAAATATTCCCTAGAAGTGGAAATTGCAAGATCTAAGGGAAAAGAAAGAAGTGGACATGGTAATTAACATGAATATTGGTTATTATGTTACCATTATAATAAGAATATGTGTTTGTCTCGTACCCATTGTACGTGACTCGCTAAAACACAACACCAAACTACGACCAAGTGTAATCGCAGTTTAGAAATGCAGTATATTGGATTCAGTTTTAATTGTCAACACAGATCCTAGATTTACTATCTGCTCCGTGAATATCTATTATCTAGCGGTTGATTTCGAGTGAAGTTTATCTAAAGCAAAAGCAAACAGAAAGCAAGTAAGGGTTGTATTCAAATTAAGAAGGCTCACTCAGGTATAAGTCCCCTAGACCGCAGTTAGGCCAAGTTGTAATTCACCTAAGTTAATTCGTTTGATGTTTAAACTGCGAAAAGTTCTCAAATAGTCTAGAGTCTCGACTAAAGTGCTCCAAACCCTCTCAGTTTGAATACCCACCGGGCGACTAGCCTCCACCTGTGTAAGCTAACTGAGGCAATCAGATTCAAACATCCTCGTGGCTTGAATCGAGCTCCAATGGCGGGGATACTTGATCTAGACACTAAAGGTTCACTCTTCATCACTTTACGTCTCTAAACTTCTGTTTTCCAGTTCCAAAATCGAATGCCATTCAATTTCCCGTCTCCAACTTGTAACAGCCCGAGTTAGGCATCCCTAGCCTGATTCCCCGATCGAGTATTTGGAGGCAAGACCAGATCTTACCCAAAATGCAGCGCAGCGGCTCACACAGTCATGCAGGAATCCTCGGTCTCGAATTGGAATCCCTGATTGGGGATTAAGGGCTATAGACCGGGAGTATCCTGGACGCATTATCCGACCTCATATGAAATTCTCCGGTCGGGGGTCAGATGATCGGACTAGGGTTTTGGTCCTCAAGCTCCACTTTTCGTCCACTCTGTGTTTTTTTTCTCGAAACGCGTTCCTAAGCCTGCACAACTAACGAGGAAGGTAATTTTTTTGAATGGATTCAACGAAAACAAAATTAAATGACAAAAATGATTTTTTTAATGCAATTGCAAATGATATTTTTATATTCATTTCACATTTTTTGCAATTCAACTCAATTTTATTTCATTGTATCAATTCCAATTGCAAACATGAGGGTTTAAATGACTTTATAATAAATAAAATAAGATAATAAAATAATTTTTTTTTCCTATGTTGCTTGCATATTCAATTTCACTTTAATGCAAACTTACAATTTTTGCAAGTGCCTACAATTGCACATCGACTGTCATGTATAATTTGCAATTGAGCAAACCAAATACAATTTATGTGATACTCTTATTAACTAGTTGTGCAAAACGACTTATTCAAAAAGCAATATAAATCCAACGGCCAGCAAGAAAGAAACACCCCATCTCCTCTCCTGCAAATTACGGGCGGCACTCGAGTCCCTCCCCTGAACCGACGGCGTAGATGTGCCGTTGAAATCGGGGTTGCTGCCGTACAACTGCAGCAAACCGTCGATGTCGTCCTGCGCCAATTCAACCTTTCTAGTCCCCGGACCAATGCTCGGGAACATGATCGCCGATTCATCGGACGAGTGCCCCAAACCCAACAAATGCCCGATCTCGTGCACCGCCACCGACTCCAGATCCACGGCTGCCGTTGCCACTTCGATCTCGCCGGAAAGCACCCAGTTCTCGGCCTCGTCGAGGTGAAGCCGCCCGCTCGGCGGCTCCAGCGCGTGGGCCAGGGTCCCCGAAACGCCGTCGAACGCATCCCCGTCGCCGTGGTCGCCGCCAAAGAACCCAACCCGGATGTCCGTGTTGCTGTAATCCTCCGTCTCCGTGAAAGTCAACGGCGCAACCGCCGACCAGCGGTGGAACGCGGCGGCGAACACGCTCTTCACCTCCCGCGACACCTGATTTCCCGGGAAGAACGCGTAGGTCAGGTTCCGACGACTCGCCGGCCACCGGGGCATCCCTGGGAAGAACGAGTACCGCTCCACCGCGTGGATGCGGCCGGTCGTGTTCGCCGGCGGTCTCCCGCCGGAGTTCATCGTCGTGGAGCCGTTGACTATGTCGGCGTTGCCGCATCTGGGGAGCACGATCTGGCGGATCGTCCGGTCGTCGAGCTGGCCGGTGACGTTGAGGTTGAAGTTCCGCTGGTAAGTTTCCACCGCCGATTCGAGCGAGTCGTCGAATATATCGGTGAGGTTGCCGTCGGCGTCGGGGATGTAGCCGAAGTGGCGGAAGTACTTCTTGAGCTTAGACAAGCCGTCCAGCTTCTCGCCGGCGCGGCAGCCGGAGAGGTTTCGGAAGGAGTCCCAGGCGGTGGTGAAATTGGGGTTGAGAGCAGGGAAATTGCGTGGGATTGAGGATGTGTTTGGGAAGAACCTGCAGGAAACTGGCGGCGGGAAGGAGGAGAAGATTAGCAGAGATGTAATGACGGGGAAGAGTATCTTTTTGAATCTGAACTTCATAGCTCTGTAATTTTAATTTTAGAACAAAAGATTGATTTGGGGGCAGTCGCCAGTGCGTATTGATGATGAATTTCATTTTCAGATTTATTATGCGTTGGACAGTGAAATTAATAAAATAAAGAAGACTATGGAGTATGACTGAAGGATTTAATTTTTATTTTATACTAGGTGTTCTACCCACGCGGAACGCGCGATGATAGTCAAATTTTGGACGCTATTCGTATTTGTTTTGTTTTCATGCAGTGGAAATCAAAAGATGTGAGTTTTTTTTTTATGATTATATACAGCGTATATATACAAAATTTATATGCCCCAAATTACATCTTATGCTTGGCATGTAGTACTATAAATTTAAGAATGTGCAAGTTGATGGGTAAATTGTAAGGGGGTGTTAGTGAATGAAAAAAATGTTGTTTGGAAGAAAAGTAAATAGTTCAAATATGATGAAAAGTAAACAATTTAAATTATTAGAAAATATAATTTGAAAAAGTTATCAGAAAAAATTCACATAAATAAAAACTAAAATAAGAATTCTCAAATAATACTCATAGAAATTAATACATATGCTTCAATAGACATAATTATCAAGACGATAATGATCAAATAGTAATTAATTATCTATATGATCAAATAGTAATTTAAATTATCTATACATATTTGTTGTTTTTGTCAACGACTCATGCATTTATTTGTTGATATGATAGTTATATGCATTAGCATGGTGAGTACCACAACAGAGTTTTAATTGTAGTTATTGAAAGACTAAGATTGTCCTTTAATTAAATTTCGAGTATGTCTGTCGACAATCATTTTCTTATGGCATAGAGTAAGGATGAAGAATGATATTTTCTTTAGATTTTTTATTGTATTGTTTATAATACTGCAAAGTTTAGAGTTCCCTAAACCCAAACCCGAAGTCCAATTTAATGGAAAACTATAATCGACCGTTGAGATTGGCCAAAGCTCATTTAAGTACAACTAACAACAAGATCAAGTGGAGTATACCAGTCATATATCTCCACCGTCCGCGTCCATCTCAACGGGCAGCATAAATGAGGTCATTTATTTTTTTAATCCCACAAAAAAGAACCCGCATTAATGCTGGCTGTTGAGATGGATGTGGACGGTGGAGATTGCTGGTGTACGACATACCCCAATATATGTCTAGTGTACGATAGAAGTCACCATATATGGATAATTTTATCATACACCAGACAAAACTTGGTATATGTCGTACACCAGGCAATCTCCACGGTATGCGTCCATCTCAACGGGCAGCATAAATGAGATAATTTATTTTTTAATCCTACAAAAAAGAACCCACATTAATGCTGGCCGTTGAGATGGACGTGGACGGTGGAGATTGCTGGTGTATGACATACCCCAATATATGTCTGGTGTACGATAGAAGTCACTATATATGTATGTGTGTGTATATATATGCACATTGTATCTCACTTCAAAAGAAAAAATATTTGCTAAAGATCATGGTTATCTTTTTGGTATTTGTGATACTTTTTGTTAGGCAAACTTTTTTATTTCATTTTTATTTACAACCATAGCTAACAAAATGATTGCTTTGTTAAATAGATAGGTCATGAATGATTATTCACGAGTGATATAATCATTATGAATTTAACATTCGATTATTGATGTAAGATTATGATGATACTAAAAATAAAAAATAATTTCAAACTCATATTAATGTCATATAAAAATAAAAATTCTTAATAATTTTAAAAAATTAGGATAGACATTATAAATGTATTGTGTTCAAATAATATTCCAACCAACGTGTCAGGCACCTAACTAATTACTAAAAATAAATGAGCTCAGAAATTGCTGATTAAACATGATAGCTCGTCTCATAACTGTTAGAAGTTAAAGGTTTAAGTGCCTTTTTTGTAATAAGCCATGTACATAATTTTCTTTTTCTGACAAGAGTTAGGACTTGGGCGGCTGTGAATATATTTGTTGGTGAAGGGCTCCGGTCTATGTAAGCTTCTGTGAATGTGAATAAGAGATCACAGGTTTCTCCCGTGCACTAGTCCCAACGATCCTCATCGTTGGGGAAACCACGTAATCTCTGTGTTCTGTGTTGCGTAATCTTCCAAGTTTGATTATATTGACATGGTATCAAAACCTCTCTGAATTTTTCGTGATTTTTTGTGTGCTTGTTAGCTATATGTCGTTCATGGTTTGTGCAGACTCTTCTAGGTTGGGGTTCTTCGGCTGTCGTTCTTGTTTTCGGCAGCTCTATCGTTTTTTGGGGTATTCTTCCACTCTTGTTCTGGGCATCTATCTCTAGTTTTCTTTTACTGGCTGTTGACTCAGTTTGTTGGGGTCTTATCTTGGTTATTTTGGGCTTTTCTTCCGCTTGCGATATTGTGTGGTTGGGGTCTCTTTTTGGGGTGTCTATTCTCCAATCTCCGCGTTGCTTTTTTGCGGTTCCTTGTTATTGCTGCTAGGTTGTTGTTTGTGACTTCATGGAGGGCTCGAAGTTGGACGTTGTGTCTGCTCGCTTGAATGGGGGGAAAATTCCTGTTATGGGAGATGCAGTTTCGGGTATATGTACAAGGGCAACGTATCCTGCCAATCTTGGATGGGTCATCTCCGGAGCTGGGTGAATCTGCCTTGGCGGAGACTCACATCGATTGGGCAATTGAAAATGCTCAAGTTGTTTCCTAGATTCTGAAGTCGGTTGAGCCATCCATGGCTCTTAGTTTACATGGCTTCCATCGGCCGCGGGGATGTGCAAGCACTTCTGTGATATCCATTCGCATGCTACGCTTCTCGTAGTTTTAACTCGAGGTCAAAATTGCCTCATTACAGCAAGGAGGCTTGGATGTCTAATCATATTATCAAGCTGCTCTCAACTTATAGACCGAACAATATCTCTTAACAACTTCCTTGGTGTCGAATGCTACTTCGGCTGAAGTCCTCAAAGATCGCACTACTTCTCTCCTTATGCATTTTTTAATAAAGCTTAATCCTGCTTTTGAGGGGATTCGGTCTTCTCTGCTTCATCAAAATATTTCCACCATTGAGGAGGTGTTGGGTGAGCTAGTTCGTGAAGAAACCCGCCTGCGTAGTTAGGACAAACTTGATCTCCATACTTTTGATTTGGGCGCGACATTTGCAGTGCAGTCTGGTCGTCCCCAGTTTGGTCCTACTCCCTCCGGAGAAATCATTTGCTATCACTGCAAGTAGCCTGGTCACGTTCAGGTTCGCTGTCCCAAACGTGTGGTGTGCAACTATTGCAAGGACTCAGGCCACGTGATTAGCGACTGCCCGATCCTTGCACGCCGTGGCCGTTCTCGTGGTAGCGTTCTTGGGTCTGGACCTTCTTCCGCGGGGCCTCGCCATGATACTGGTCGTACTCTATCTGGGGTGCGTACGCTACTACTTATGCTCCACTAGCTACATCCTCACCCGGTGTCCAGGCTAGCTCTTCCGCCGTGTCTCAGGATGATATGCGACGTCTTATTCATGAGGCCCTACTGGAGATGGCCTCTCATGCTGAGGGCACTATTTTTGCTACGGGTACTGTTTCTATCCCTCTTCCCTCTTGGCATCTTGATTACGCATCTGTCAATTATATAACAAGTGATTGTTCTTCGTTTACTCATGTTCGTCCTAATTCTGGAATTTACCTGCAAGTAGCTGGTGGCTCCACTATCTCTGTTGATGATGTGGGTATTGTTCGTAATAATCGCTTGGAGCTGTCAGATACTTTTTATGTTGCGAAGTTGGTCCCGAACTTGGTTTCAGTGGGTCAACTAGCAGCTGAAGGGTGTAAGGTGATATTTGATGCTCATGGTTGCGCTGTGCAAGACACGAGGACGGGCAGGGATACCGGGAGAGGGACTAGACATGGACGTGTGTATATGTTGGACATCTTTTCCCGCCAGCCGCCGGATCGAGGTGGAGTGCTCGACAGTTCGGTGATGTTGATCGATGTACACACTCTTTGTCGGATTCTTTGCCTGCAATTTCTTTGGATTCTTCTTTCTCTGTTCAAAACAATAGTTATTTAGTTCGGTTCTCATATTGAGATTTTTAGCATTATCGGTTAGGCCACCCTCATAAAACAAGATTGTTTGAGATGTTTAGAAATAATTGGTTGTCAGGTTCTGTTCATACTATTCCTGATCATGAGTGTGTTCACTGTGTGGAAGCAAAAATTTCTCACCGCTCTTTTGGTACTAGTACTACTATGTATTCGGAGCCTTTTGATTTGGTCCATAGTGACTTATGAGGCTCTTCTCCTGTCACTGCTCGGTTGGGGTTTTGATACTTTGCTTTATTCGTTAATCAGGTCACTCGGTTCACCTGGGTTTACTTTCTTAAGGAGAAATCAGAGTTGGTTGATGTTGCTCGTGAGTATATTCACATGGTTTCTACTCAGTTCTGCAAGGTCATCAAGATACTATGGTCGGATCTTCCGCTCCATGACCTCTTTCGCCAACAAGGGATCCTTCCTCAGCAGTCTTGTCCTGGTGTCTCGTAGTAGAATGGGGTTGTGGAACGCAAGCACCGTCATGTCCTTGAGCTTACCCGTGCCTTACTCTTTCGTTCTTGAGTTTCTCCTAGCCTCTAGGTCGAGGCCATCCATAATGTAGTGTACTTGATTAATCGTCAAGTCACTCCGGTTCTTGATCAACAGAGCCCCTACCAGAACTTTCTCTCGCGTCTTCCAGACTATAAGTAGCTTCGAGGTTTTGGTTGTGATTGTTATGCCTTCTTCCCCGTTGGGAACGTAACAAATTATCTCCCAAAACTGCAAAGTGTGTGTTTGTCGGGTACAGTGACAAACACAAGGGATATGCGTGTTATGACGTTGCCAATCGGCATCTTCGTATCTCTTGTCACGTGTTGTTTTTTGAGCATTCTCCCTATTATATGTCTCACCAGTCAGTTGATAGCTCTCAATGGGATTTTTTGGCTCCTCTTCATGCCTTTCCAGCGCCCTCAGTTCCCCTCGTTTAGGAAGATGACGA